GCATCTCCTGACTTGTGCCTGTCCACAACTTTATCCCGGAGATCTTTTGACAGTGCCTTACCACCCATAGCTGATTGTTTGCTTCAGTTGCACTACCAAGGACTGAAATGCTCCAAGAAAAACCCTTTTCATGCTGAGCTAATTAAAATGACCACAGCTGATCACAGTTGAAAGTCAGATGATGGCTTTGTGTACCATTGAAAAGGTGATAAGCTACACCTGATTGAGTTTACAATTCGTGTCTCAGCTGTGGAGCTCTGCGTGTGTCTGCACCTCTATTTGGAAAGGAATCTGATCGCGGGGGATCCGGACACAGCTGATCACACCGAACAACAGCTGAAGGGACCAAAGCGGTGACCCAGCAAATTTCACCACTATAGTGGTGGAAGAGTGAAGAGTATGTAGACTGGCAGTTTAGATTAAGGAGACTTATGTTTGAGTATATATGCATAACAAAATATAACAATATATTTGTACATAATATACTAACTTTCAAAAGCTTGGGGTCAGTAATGGAGTCATTAACACTTGTATTGAGAAAGGATACAATAACTTGATAAAAAGTTAGAGTAAAGACTTTTACATGAAAAAAATCAAACAAATGCTGTTGACCTTTCTATTCATCAAATGTATCATGGTTTCCACAAAAATATTAAGCAGCAAAAACTGTTTTCAAGATTTATGATAATAAGAAATATTTCTTGACCACCAAATCAGCATATTAGAATGATTTCTGAAGGATCATGTGACACTGGAGTAATGCTGCTGAAAATTCATCTGTCATTATAGGAATATACTGAATTTTTAAATATATTAAAATATAAAACAGTTATTTTCAGTTGTAAAAATGTATCACAATATTACTGTTCTTAATATATCTTAAGAACAAATAAATGGAGCTTTGGTGAGCATAACAGAAAGAAACTTCTTTTTTCAAATAAAACCAGAGGCACATCTGAATGGACGTTATGCTTCTGGCTGATTGGTTGCGAATGTTTTTAGTGGTATTAAGGATTCTACACATTGTGACAGATAATTGTTGCTGGAAACGTGTTACATCATGCCTGGTTAGTACACGATGTAACAATCACAACGCCTGTCTAACTTCCTTTGCTTTTTCTTTCCCTTAACGGTGCACTCAGTCATATATTTCCTCATTCAATTGTTTTACGCATAAAATAAATTAATTGTACTTTGAAAAATATATTTTAAATAATGTAATCATGCTGTGTAACTGTACAGTTTCACTCACAGAATAGATGTATTAAAACATCAATATGGTATAAAGATATAAAATTCCCTATTGCATATTTTTATTCCTCAGCCAGAATCAGTCTTAACAAGGAAATATCACTCAGCAGTGCAGCAAGCAGTGATCCACATCCTAAACCATAGCAGCAACGTCGTTTGATCCGTCCTCTCCGACACTTCTCTACAAAACTCATTTCAAACTGCACCACTGAAGCGCAGTACTGCTGAGGATTACACAGAGTGCATGAGACAAGAGTGCAGAGAACTTCAAAAGTCCTTTATTTAGTTTTCGCCTTAGGCAAGAACAGACTGCACACACTTGCCCCTAGACCAGTCGCTCTTGACTTTCAGATGTCTGGCTCCATTTCCATTAGGGCTGAACACATTATGGAATTAAAATCAAAAGTACGATATGGTCTTGTGCGATTATAAAACCACAAAAGGTTGCAATTTGATTACATGATACATAGTTTGAATGATTCAGAGTGAATAAGCAGCACTCTGGTGTCTGTAGTCAAGTACATGTACATAGAGCATGCATAGGTCTCATGCTTTCACATACTAGTACAGTTCACTTTAAAATCCTGCTTGTTTGGCATGAAGATTCACAATTTAAAATTTCAGAGAATTCACTCACCCTCAGCCCCCAGGCCATCCAAGATGTTTGTTTCTTCATTGGCTCAACAGATTTGGAGAAATTTAGCTGAAGCGCAGTACTGCTGAGGATTACACAGAGTGCATGAGACAAGAGTGCAGAGAACTTCAAAAGTCCTTTATTTAGTTTTCGCCTTAGGCAAGAACAGACTGCACACACTTGCCCCTAGACCAGTCGCTCTTGACTTTCAGATGTCTGGCTCCATTTCCATTAGGGCTGAACACATTATGGAATTAAAATCAAAAGTACGATATGGTCTTGTGCGATTATAAAACCACAAAAGGTTGCAATTTGATTACATGATACATAGTTTGAATGATTCAGAGTGAATAAGCAGCACTCTGGTGTCTGTAGTCAAGTACATGTACATAGAGCATGCATAGGTCTCATGCTTTCACATACTAGTACAGTTCACTTTAAAATCCTGCTTGTTTGGCATGAAGATTCACAATTTAAAATTTCTGAGAATTCACTCACCCTCAGCCCCCAGGCCATCCAAGATGTTTGTTTCTTCATTGGCTCAACAGATTTGGAGAAATTTAGCATTCCATCATTTGCTCACCAATGAATCCACCAGTGAATGGGTGCCATCAGAATGAGAGTTCAAACAGCCGATAAAACATCACAATAATCTACAAGTAATCCACACGACTCCAGTCCATCACTTAATGTCTTGTGAAGTGAAAAGCTGTGTTTGTAAGAAACAAATCCATAATTTTGACGTTTGTTACATTTCAAACGAGTCCTCTATCCATAATATTGCATTCTCCAGTGAAAAAGTTGTCTCGTCTGAATCGGAAGAGTAAAAAGGCACAGATGTTTACAAGTAAAAAAAAAACAACAAAAAAAAAAAAAGAGAACTAGGGGGTTGTCCTGCATCTTCAAAAAACAACC